AAAAAAAAAAAAAAAAAAAAAAAAAAAGATGCTCTTTGAAATAGCAGGCATCTGACATTCATTGATTATGGAGTATATGACCCCATTTTTGGCTACCTTTCTTATGTATATATGTTATCACATATTTTCTCATCTGTCTCTCCGACCCAATCTGTTTTCTAAATCTCTTTGTCATTGTCATTGTTGTTAGATGACCTCTGTTACTCATTGAAAATGCAGTGTTTATGCTTTTGTTTTAGTTGAGTCTCATCAGTGATCTTTAAAAATACTACTGACTTAAGAAACACTATATCAATTATGTTAATTCTTCTGTTAGTGCCAAAGATATGAGGGCACATTTTATGTATGTGTGTGTATGTATTCATGTATTTTAGATGTCCTTTCTCAAAGTCATTCAAAAAATATATGTGAAGTTTTCATCTTTCTCCACCTTATTTAGGACTCCCCGCCACAACATTTTCCTACTCATAATATCAATGATTACTTCTTTTATGACCTGAGGAAGATGTGAAACAAATAATGAATTCATTGGATGTTTAATTCAATGGTAATATACTAAAGAAATGAAATTGTATTTGAAATTTGTGGTCTTTCCTTTGGAAAGTATAAAAGAAAGTTTAACTATGCAGTTCATTTTTCTGGACACTAGTATTTGATTTTCTTTTCTTTTGAATATTATCAGACTGTAAGGGGTGTCTTCTTGGTGCCATAGAAACTATAAGAACTGAGAACAAGATTCCCTTCTCTAGTTCATTCTATAGATTATCATAGAGATTTGTGTGCAAGCTCTGGAGATATAACGTACATGATACACAATATTTGGTCTCACAAAGCCTTGGACTTAAAAAAAAAACTGTTTATCAAATATGCAATTATGAGGTCAGTGCTTATTTCTAAAAGGGATGACTCAGGAGATGTGAATGTATATTGTCAGCTGTCCTAACTCAAAGACAAAAGGGAACACTCCCTGAATAAATAATGTTTCCACCAAGAAGATTCTATCAATGAGAGAGGGATGGCTAAGGAAAAAAATAGATGGGGTAAGAGCTAGGAAGAGTATCTTAGATAAAAGAAGCTACAAGTGAAAAGACTCAGAGAACAGAAAGAAGAGCTTTAAAAATCATTGAGGAAATCTTCATAGGGTTAACAATAGGAGAGCAAGTCAATGATGGCCATGAGATGGGGCAGTAGAGGTAGGAGGGGACCACATTGTGGATGTGCTCATGTACCTCATTGGAGGTCTAGATTTTATCCTGAAGGCAATGGAGAGGGTTATGCTAGTGGCATGATTTAAGAGTGGCTGATATGTGGAGAATGAGTGGGAGTGAGTGCTGAGATACAGGGAAGCCTCTGAAAGTCTATAATAGTGATTGGACAGTAGGGATTTGCTAACTAGATGGGAGGGTTTCTGAAGTAATATGGGCTGCTCCTGATGACATGAACAGCCTAGCATGAAACAGAGCTCAAGGTTCCACCTGTAGTTTCAACTGGTATGATTATCGAGTGACAACCAAGTCCCTGGAGTAAAAGAGATGTGCTTTTGGAAAATACTTCATGTTTGCTTTTCAAATTATGCATGTAAAGCATATTTATTATACAAATCACTATAAGACAAAAAACACATAACTCAATATTCACACTGCCCTACGGTAATGAACATTAAATTTTAGTGTATTTCAAAAATACACATTTATGCAAACACAGAAAAGAGAGCACCAACTGTGTGAACATTTAAAAAATGCAGATATATTTAGAATTGTATACTATTTGTATCATTTATAAAAATTATTCACTTACCAAAAATATATTTCCACACTATAAAAAAACCATTTTGCAACATTTTAATGATTGCATGATGCAAAGAAATATTTTTAGTGCTTTCCTGAAATGTATGATTATTTCAATTGTAATAATTACATTTTAAATTAAATATTAATGTGTGAAATATTTTCAATCAGATAGACATTCTATTGGCAAACTGATAAAGTCTAAAAGATAGTTTTCTAGTCTTTAAAAATGTTTGGCAAATATTGGGGTAGGTTTACTATGGTAAGTATAGTATATTATAAGTTTAGTGCAAGAAAATGGAAACACTTAGAAATTGTTCTAAATTTGGGAAAAGAAACATATCTGTTATCTTTCCTACAACAATGTTTCAGTATTTTTATGTAGGTAGTACCGTTATTTAAGGTTTCTCTCCTCCCCTTGTACCTCATCTGAGCTATTGCCAAAATACATTAGCTCAAAATTCTGTTAAATTTTATGGAACAGAAAAACTCTTCTTGCAATATCCACAATTGAGCACTGGGAGGGCAGTCCAGCTTCTTCCTAAGTGCTTTATAGATCAAGAAAACACTCATCTATTTGCAAGCATTATTCAAGGTCAATTTAAACAGAGTTTCTTGCAGACAATTTTTTTATTCAAAGAAGCAAGACTCTCAATTAGTTTAGATCTATGAATAGGAGCCATTGTTTACTGCCTGTTATTTGTACCTTAAGCTCTTATGTCTTTTTTAGAATAACTTAATAAAAAGCAGATATTTGAGTCTATAAAAGCATACACATATTTTTTTGAATCTTATATGCTTCAACATGTTAAACTTTAAATGAAACTGAAGGACACTCAAACAAAGTCACTTTTGTCAAAGCCTTTTCCTAAAACACATTTGGATGATGCAAGATGTAATCTCTTGTGATGTCCAAGTGATTGATAAACCAATTTATGTGGAATACACAAGAACTGTTTGGACTTTGTGGTTTTCTTAAATGAGATGAATAAGAAAATTTGTTTTCTGAATAGGAACTAAAGTATGCTAGGCCTATTTTAGATGCTTCAGTGTGCCAAAGATGGTATTAAGTTTGGTGTTCATAAATTACTAATCTGGAATAAGAGGTTGAATGTATTTTGAAAACTTAAACCTGTTTCACCTGAACATGTTTAACTAGTTAATAAGAAACATCAAAAAGAAAAAACCCTGAGGTCAATGGTCATTTTTTGTAAAGCTATTATATGCTGTTTAAATTGCTTGTTCGGGTCTGTCTATAACATAAGTTTAATAACCTAGCTCAAATGCAAATTTCTAATTTTCAATTAACATAGGAATAATTTTGTTTGCTAAAATAAAATAAATGAATGAATGACAAGTCTGAAACATGAAATGTTCTAGGTAGAACTTTTTAAAATTCCAAATTTCAAAAAATCATGTGGCAACTGTATAGCTCAAGCTTTAAGTATTAACTTTTAACCTTTGACCTTACAGATTTTAACCAATGAAATGTCTCTTTAAACTTTAAAGGAAACAATGATAACGAGCGCCTGGCGATTGCTAGACAGCGAATTCCATATCGACTTGGTCGAGTAGTTGATGAATGGCTACTCGACAAAGGTAAAAAACATTGATTAAAACTTCAAATAAAAAAATAATTTGAACATAACCAAGTAGTACTTCATTGTAACACTAATAAACATAAAAATAAATTTTCCGTAAAACTAAATTAAAAACAAATTTAAAACAGTTAAATGTAGATAGTAATATTTGCATACCTTGTATAATAATTTCTATACATTTTTAGACGTACCAGCTGTTTAATAATCTTACCCAGTTAACTTAAGGTTAAAGGGACTGTTAAATATAATCCACTAACTCAATCTATGAAGGTACTCACAGCAAGCATTAACCCAAAATGATAAATCATTCATAGATTATATTGTTCCAGCCTCTAAATTATTAACTAAAATATATGTAGTTCTGATATCTTTATTATGGTCCTGAAAAAAAAAAAAGAAGCAAAACTCTTTGTTTAAACTCTAGGAATCTTAAATAGTGGGCAATATGGATTGCCAGTCAAAATGAAGTCCCTTTAACGTTTGCAACCTTCTAAGAGCATTTGGGAACAAGCCCTAATTAAAACTGAACTTAAAGTTGTGTGCATGCTTTTTATGAGCAGAGAGCAAATCTGCTAAACTGGATCCTCATTTTGATGATAATGGTACTGTTGCTAAGGATTGCTGTTTGATGGAAATGTGCCATCTTTTCTCCATTGGTTTGTGTATCATTCCTGAAGCCGCTTTTTACATCTGAAGCTATTTTTTTTTTTCATTTTGTTTTATTTTGATAGACTTGCTGAAAGCCAATCAGAAAAAAATATTTTTGGAATTTTTTTTTGTCTCTGACATGCTAAGTGTAAACCCTACATTTCTTTTCAGTGTGATTGCCGGAAAAGTAGAATAATTCCAATAACAATGGACTATTGCCTTCAAAAATAAACATTTCTAAAGAATAGCATACAGATACATGTGGACATTATGCAAATTACGAAATTTTTACCATAAAATCTAAAACTAGACTTCTGTTACTCTAGATTAGTTTCTGTCAGAGGTAATTTTAGGATGACAAATGCTTGAAATGTTAGATATGTCATACCTTTTAAATTTAACAATTTAGACTTAAGAGACCAACAATATAAGATATGAGGGCAAAGGGCAAAGGGATCCACTAAAAATTGATTTGTAATACCTATCTTTGATTGGTCTTTTAGCAAAAGCACTACATTTACAGTAACTTGAGAATTTACAAGTATTTGCCAATAATTATGCATTTCATGGACACCTCATTTATAAGCAATGAATTATGAGTCAAATGCCTCTCTTATAGTTTATTGCTCTCATTATCCACCCCATGAAAGATCTGTTTTATCATCCTTTGTAGAATGTAGAGTTCACAATCAACATTTTTGCATGTATGTAATATTATTTTTACAGGGCGTCAGCTCACAATCTTCAATAGCCAAGCAACCATAATAATTGGCGGGAAAGAGCAGGGCCAGCCCTTCCAGGGCCAGCTCTCTGGGCTTTACTACAATGGCTTGAAAGTTCTGAATATGGCAGCCGAAAACGATGCCAACATCGCCATAGTGGGAAATGTGAGACTGGTTGGTGAAGTGCCTTCCTCTATGACAACTGAGTCGACAGCCACTGCCATGCAGTCAGAGATGTCCACATCAATTATGGAGACCACCACGACCCTGGCGACTAGCACGGCTAGAAGAGGAAAGCCACCTACGAAAGAACCCATCAGCCAGGTGAGCATGTATATTTCATTCCTTCATTTGGGGCTTGTGAAAGTGGGCTTTTTTGCATGTGAGACGTTTATAAAATAAGATTATTTTTTTCTGATGTCAGGCTGAATGCTTCCTTTGAGGTTGCTTAACATAGTGCATTCAGTTGGAATTTGAACCATATTGTAGTTTGTGGACATTTATAAAAGGCTTTGTGTTGCTTTGCTGGTTGCTGGCTAAGAGTCTTGATAGAATACATTTGGTCTAGCCCAGGCTGAGAGGATTGTCTGCTTATTGCACACTTTTCAATTAAAGTTTAATGAGCAAGTAAATTAATGAAATATTTAAAAGACCTTGTTTGTTTAAGATCAACACTTTATCATTTTTTTTAAGAAAAAAGCAAAGCTGATCTTAAGAGAGGTATGCCTGCAATACTTATATTGTATTTTGAAGTCTTAAAATTTTGAGTTGATAGACAAGTGGCTTTCATGGTGATTGATACTCTATTCTTCTTCTATGTATGAGAAAAACATGTTATTTCTTTGAGGACAAAGGCACCAAATGTGCTATTCAAAAACTATCTTGGGCTAAGGTATTCTGTATATTTTACTAATTGTGCTCACCTGGAATTCACTTTAATAGCTTATTATTCAATCAAAAATAGAATTTTTAAATGTGGCATAGTTACAAGCTAGAGGCTTATTAATTCAACTAAGATGTACTTGTTGATTGCCTACTATGTATTAGACACTGATGTAGTTATTACTATCACATCAATGAAGAACACAGAACGACATTTATGAATGCTGGTAGACAGTGTAGAAATGCCATTACATGCTATTAGATGCCCATTGACATTTATAGCCTCTGTATATATTCAGTTGCTAATGCTTTCTCAACTGTTCATTTTCCTTGGTCCCAAATTCATTTTTAAATTTTGTTTGTAAGTTAGTAAATGTCTTTCCTAGGTACCATAAAAAGCTTTTCCAAATAGATGACCCTACTTTTCTAGAAAACTTCCTTCTAAAGGCACATGAGTAACAACAATTAATTTCAACATTGCTTTTACTTCATGTGTTTGAAACAGACTAAGTACCAGATTTGGAAAGAAACTAATAGAAAGCAAATTTTGTTTGTATCTGCACCCTATCTACTAATTAATACATATTTCCTACAAAAATAAGAAAGTAGATTCTAATTTTTACTTTACAAAGAAAGAGGAGTTATGAACAGAATAGAGGAAGAGAAATGTCCTGGGAAAAGAACAATAAATTATAATTATAAATTTTGTATATTAATAAAGGTGGTACAGTATGGTATTGCATATTTTGCACCTCTATGCCCCTGTTTTCTTCCTGTTTGCCTTTGAGCACATGGTAAAATGGGCTGTCTCCAAGGATAGTCAAAAGGACATATTTATTAATCACTCTCTGCAGGTGCAGGACACTCTTCTAAGCAGGAGGATATATTGAAACAACAAACACAATCTCTAGCCCTCATGAAATATCCATTTTAGTAGAAATGTTTGCTTCAAGTGTCTTCCTTTTATTGACTTCTCTATCTATACTGACAAGATTGGTGATAATGTCATGCACTTAACCACTTTATAGAGTTGTGACTTTAGAAAGATTAATGCTTGCCCAATAGATTCATTTGATATTGTCTTATAATACTTCATTAGTGATTTCTTCCTGTCATTTATTTGTAGTTCAGTTAACGCTAAGCAAGTTTTTTTTAAGTGAATCTGATACAGGAAAAATGAAGCACAAAGGAATCAATACCCCATTTCCTTTCTATAAAATAATTCATAAGAGAACAAGTGCATTCAGAGTTGGAAATGTTTCTGTGAATATAATTGGAAATAGGTATTGTTCTTAGTAGTTGTATTACATTTTTAATGAAATGACAGTTGCAAAAGCTCCTAGGTAATCTAAATGTATCCTTGAATAAGAAAAGAATTATTAGCATTGTTTTGATGTAGTTTATCAATTAGTATCTGCTACATACTAAGAAATATTGTTTTGAAAAAATGAAAAATAACCATTTCTTTAAAAGATACTGAGAAATTCAGAAATAAAAGTATGCATTTTATAATATTAATTAATACATAAGAAATACAGTTGACTGCTTGTTAATTTAATTGCCAATGGAAAGATTTTTTTTTATTATGAGCTATTACATGTTTAAAGACAGCAGTGGTTTACACAAGTAAATGATTTAATCAATTAATAATTACTTGGGTCATTTGAGGAAGTATTGACTTAAATAAAAAATTACTAGGTTCATGGAAAATAGATACTTTAAATCTTTACATCTTTTAATAGACCAAGAACAGCAATTAAAGAGTTTGACTTAATATGTTACAAATAATCAATTGTTACCAATATTCAATTGTGGCAACAACGTTTTAAACTTGGACAAATCATTTTTAAAATTGTTTATATGTCATAGGTGCCAGTGAAATGCACCTATATAGGAGAGGAAAACCAATAGAGAAAGAAGCAAATTATTTATTTTTGAGTAATGCAATAACTTATTGCAAACTTTTCTTACCTCAACATTGATTTTCAAATTGTCCTCTAAGTACAAAGAAGTTTTATATATAAAATATTTAATGTGTTTGTTGGAATTGCTCAACATTTAGGAAGTTTAAATATGTGAGTGATTTGTAATGCTAATTTTAGTTCTGGAAACGTTTACCCATTTTTTACAGATTAGATGCCTCATCTCTCCTATCAACCTCGTCCATAATGGCTATATCTGCCTGCTTTTATCTACTGCCTTACTAAATTGTGTACCAGGAAGGGTCATTTCATTTTTCAAAAGCCATACTGGACTGTTTTTTCAATCAAAGTGTATTTTCCTCAGTGATAACACTGAGCCACTTAAGCTACAATGGCAATGTACCTTGGGGTGATTGCATGTTTTAGAACTATGGAAACAGATTTTTGGTCAAGCAGAATTAAATTGGATTCATTTCATATAGATGAGATGAAGTTTGTTCAGTCATCCTGCAGGGCAAGGAGTAGGTGAGAAATGTATTTCGTTTTTCACAGGGTCCAAGAATATAAGAGTGTTCATGAAAATATCCTCCATAAGATCCTGTTTACTTTCCTACTTAAATGTAAATATGCTTTAAGAAGAAAAAAATAATAGCAGTTTTTCTTCTTTCTTGATCAATTTTCATACTGAGTTTCCTTAAAAATACACAATTTATAATATAATAATATTATATTAAGTATGGTGATATTTATCAACTCTTCTGAATAAATGGCTTCCTTTTAATGCGAATATAACAATATTGATAATACTTTTGTATGCATAACATAAAGTTCAGGAACCTGTTTTACTTAGAATATTTAATTATTAAGTATTTCCATAAGACCCATTTGCCTTAGGAGACACTTTCCATCAGACTATTCTCAGAATACAAATATTTGTGAAAATAATTGGTGGGTGTAAAGTTGCTAGGAATGTTGACAGCTTCCTGGGATGGGGAAGCAATGAGATGGAAGGATTTAGCCACTAAATGTTCCCTCTCCTTCTTCATGATCTGGTAATGTTTTATGATGTGCATGTGTGTGTGCATTTATGTAAATAAGTAAAAGGGCAACCTTCACTCCCTTTGCTTTCCAATCTGTATAGAAAGGAAAGCAGATCTGTGCTGTTTCTTTTAAGATCAAGATTGTGGTATTTATTCTGGAATTTTCTTTGCAGCACATTTTATGATCTTTTCTTTCTTTCCTGAATACTTTACAAGCTATATACATATTATAGAAACTTTGAATGCTTGGTTTGGTAATGTTTTTTTCTTAGAGGTAGTATAATGGAGAGAATAGTGAATGAGAAGTCTGGTTTTCCATTGGACACCAGCAACTACCTTATTGTGTGACTTGAACAGTTGTGTTTACCTCACTCTTCTTTAGTTTTTGTTGTTGTTGTTTTTGGAGTGGGTGGGGGCTGGTTACCAGGCATTGAACTCAGGGGCACTTAACCATTGAGTCACAGTCCCCAGCACTATTTTGGATTTTATTTAGAGACAGAATCTCACTGAGTTGCTTAGCACTTCGCCATTCTGAGGCTGCCTTTGAACTTGCAATCCTCCCGTCTCAGCCTCCCGAGCCACTGAGATTTAGGTGTGCAGCACCACGCCTGGCTTTTTTAAGTTTGTTGCTGCGCTATAAATAAGTGGGTTACTAGGAATCTCTTGCATTTTGTTCAGCTCTAAAATTTAATTGATTCTAGTGATGATACTCTTAATTAGGTCTTCTCATCATTATTTAACAAAGCATAGATGTCACCCTTCACCTTTTCATAGGGTGGCCGTGCATCCCAGTTGGCCAGGATAGTCCCAGTGTGTACCTGACATTCTGAAGTAATTACTGATATATTTTTGACTCTTAGTAGCACCCCATTTTGGTATCTAACCAATATTGCACTCCACTTTTTTTAGCATATGTAAAACCTATCTTTGCAAGAAAATCATACTTCACAAGAATAATAAATATCAACCCTCTCCTTAATATTCAGAGAAGAAACCGATCTGGTAGTTTTATCTGGTTTTTAGAATACACAGCTTTTTCATCTTCTCATCTTGTTTCAAAAATCTTGAGAAAGGGGAGAGAATAAGGTTTTGAAAGACTCTAGTTTTTGACTAGCCTGCATCTCCTGGGAAGAAATTAAATTATGGAGTGGGGCAGAATCAGCAAATATGAGTAGAATATATTGGACAGTTCGGTGGTTCCAGGGTGAAGTTTTCCAGGGCAGAGTTACCAAATCTACTCAAGGAGAGAAACTCTAGAGGGTTATAAAACATTTGTGGTAGCTTGTCAGAGACATGTATATTTCACACATGAGACATCCTATTAAAGTCAATGGCATTTGATTCCCAGTGGAATTTTCTGGAAAGAAACCCAATTAGTGTTCCAGCAAGAAAAGAGTATTTAATATATTGGCCACCGCTAGTGCTTCTTAGAGGCTTTGGAGCTACTCATGAAAAATGAATACAATTTGTTTAAAAAATG